CCTCTACTTCTCCAGCCGGATGGTATCAGGGGATCATCTTAATGATCTTTTTTTCTGATTTTGTACAGGCAATGGAAGGATCCTACGTTGAATTAGCGGAGAAGTTGGCGAGTTCAGGTGTGAAAGTAGCAAAATTCAGGGGAGATGGTGAGCAGAAAACATTTGCACAAGAAGAATTGCAGCTTGGTAGCTTCCCTACAATACTCTTCTTCCCTAGACAATCTTCACAGCCCATTAAGTACCCGTCGGAGAAGAGAGATGTCGACTCCTTGCTAGCTTTTGTGAATGCCCTCAGATGAAAAACATATAATGTGTTTACATATCTTGATGAGAAGCTATTCCGCAATACAAAAGTTGCGTGCAAGCTGGTTTGGACACCACAGTGTTATCAAGAAAAAAAAAAGAACTTGTGAGGTTGTATGGACTTATACTGTCCTCTTAGTCCACTCCATTGTTTTCCCTTTTTAACTTAAACTTTTTGTATATCCATCTTTGGTGAGAGCTTAATTTCTAGGGACTCAATTTATTTGAAATCAATATTTTGGTTGTTCATTGTATTGGCTAGGCTACCTCGTTATGATTTCACTCTAGTCACTAGCCCTACTTTTTGACATTACCTCGTTCAAAATGGGCGGAAAAAAAAATACCGTTGAACTATTGAAAATGGAGCACTTGTATTCTTGGTTATCTTAGTTACTAGTTTATATAAACTAGAATTAGGTTGATCATGAAGTTGAGATTAATCTTTGAAATTAAGGACTTATATAGTTGATAACATGCAATGCATGATCAAGAACTTAACATCTTCCTAATTTTCAACATAATTACAATTCTCAACATCTATATATAATTTCAAATCCCAAAACAAAATTCTCACACACTACAAAATACAAATAACAAAACACTAATTTTTGTCTTAATTCAACTCATAAAAAAAATGGCAACAAAGTTTATTTTCCTCCTCCTTGTTGCTAGTACACTTTTTGTTGTATCCACAAATGCTAGAAACATTAAATTTGTGGCAAACTCAAGTGATGAAATGTATCCATATTATCCACTCCCTAAACCATTTGGTTTAAGTTTTGGTCATGTTGGATCAAGTTTTGGTACTAATTTTGGAAATGGCAATGCTAATGATCAAAGTGTGTTAATTGGTAGTGGAAAAGTTGAAGTAAATGATGGAGCACTTGGACGTCATTAATGTTAATTACATCTCTTCAAATACGGCGACCGATAGAATCAAATATTTTTTATTAAGAAGTTCAAAATATGTGAAAATAAGTCTAGGAAATATAATAAAATGTGATAATGACTCCTAATTGTATGTCTATTATGATTTTCATGTTAAACAAAAGAAAAAAAAAACATTTTTATGCATTATATTACTCAAAACAATTTGTCACTATCAATACCAGAAATTCCCTAATTTTCCACATATAAGATGGAATGAGAAATTTCAATGAGCTTTCCATCATGTGAATTTGAATAAATATTTACGTTAATTATGTATAGTAGTGTTTCGCCACCTTTAAATTCAGAATCCACCTCTATCTTATATACTTCAAGAAATTTTGAATCATTTTAACAAAAAATTAACCTGATAACATAATTTTATCGATCACACAAACAACTCATTATCGATTTCAACCACTTCTATCCAAATACTTTGATAGTTAATACTAATCATTAGCTACTTTTAATCTTCTAATACAATGAGGCTCTTAAAAATGAATCTTTTTTTTCAAACTACTTTCTCTATCTCCATCTATGAATTACTTTTTTTTTTCATTTATCAACAAAAAAATAAATACATTTTTATATTTTGTACGTAAAATTAAAATTGTAAAATGTTTATTTTACCTTTAATATAATGATTTATAGTTATATAAACACCTATGACTTATTTTAGATCCTATATTTTTTTTTTCATTTTTAAACTTCATATCAAATCAAATTATATCACATAAGTTGATCAGAATATATAATCGATCAACTATATATTTTTTTGAAACATCTCCTTCGTTTTATTAAAAATACTCTAGAAAGAATTCTTCAAAACTATAAATTCCATTACAAATCATAATGGACAATAAGGGAAAAAGCATATTCTTAACCTCTCCAAAGATGTATTTATCCAATCATTAATTCCAAAAATTGAATATCCATTTTTTACCTAATCAAAATTAACACATAGTCCAAATGTGTCCCGCTTGTTTTTTTAAGTTACGAAAAATATTTTTTTATTCAACATTTTTTAAATAAAATTAATTATTATTATCTTGATTTTTTTTAAATTCAAAAAACAAATGAACAATATTGAAACAAGTTAAAAATGATAGCTAAAATATTGTCATATCTAAAAAATCATAATTCTCTTTGTTACCAACATCAGCTATAACAACATTCATTTTATTATATCAACTATGTATTCTACAATATTGATTTTTCTTTTTATGTTATGTTATAATTTTATGTTTTTTATAACATCATTTTGTTATCGTAATTTAAAAAAGACATACACATAAATATGCATTTCAATTTAATTTATATCCTTTTAGAAATAACATGGTCTCCAAATGTTTTCCAAGTGCTATAATGTGTAGATATGTAGCTGAAAACCAAACAGCAGAAGACTGGACTTCATCATTCACATCCGATGTTTATTTTGATTGTTATTTAAATTTAATTTTATTATTTAAATTCATCTTATAATAATAATAAAAGGTCTCATTTTGTGTAATCACCAATTTATATTATTTAAAGTGTTAATATTAAAAAGAGAAAAGAGTTTGAAATATATCTGATCTTTGACAAAAATTGTTGTAACAATTTCAAATTTTGAATAGGACCTATTACCCCTACACTATTTAATAGTGTATTTTAAAGATACATATGTGCTCATGTGGACAAGTTACTATTTATAATGATACAATATTTATAATGTCCACGTGGACACATATATACCTTTAGAATACACTATTCCCTCCGTTTAAAAAAGAATGACCTAGTTTGATTTGAAATCGAGTTTAAGAAAAGAAAGAAGATTTTTAATCTTTTGATTTTAAATTAAAATTATGTCAAATGTACCCAAATGTCTTTTAATCTTGTGGTCTTAAACATGCCACGTGGAAAGTTAAAGTTAAAGTGTTACAAAAAAAATAAAGGGATCATTCTTTTTTAAACAAATTAAAAAGGAAATAATGACATTCTTTTTTAAACGGAGGAAGTATTAATTTGTACTATAAGGAAGCGTTTGGTAGGCTGTATTAAAAGAAATAATCTATGTATTAGATGTGGTATAATTTAATACTGTGTTTGATAGGAATGTGAACCTATGTATAACTAATCCATGGATTAGTTAATACATCCTACATGGTATTATGTGATGTATTACTAATACTTCCATTTGGAGGTATTAGCTCTAATACCATGGGACTATTCTAGGGAAAGACAAAAATACCCCTCAAATCTTTTTAATAGTTTATTTATATTTTTAATTTTATATTTATATTTTATATTTTATTTTTATACTAATAAAGTTATTTAATTAAATTAGCTTACAAATTTTATTATTTAGATTTAATTTTTTGTTTCTAAAATATGAATTACTTAATCTATTTATTATTAATATAAAATATTATAATCCGACTAATATGTTAATGTTGATGTATGAATTTAAGAACAATTCATAAGTAAAATATTGTCTCTTAATGAAAGTTCTTTAAACATTACACAAGTAGTCTAAAACAAGTGTGTGTGTATATATATATACACACACATCTCGAGTATAAAAATAGTTTAATTTATTTTTTTATATTTATTTTATTTTATGATAAAGAGTTTTTTAAAATTTATTGATACAAAACAAAGTTCAATAAATATTCTCTCTAATTATTATAGTTGTGTGACCTTTTGAGTTATTAACTCTAATTTATTAAGATTACAATCATTTAATCTCAAATAATTTAAATGAGAAAATAGTGAACATGACAATAAAAATTTTATTCTCCTAACTAGTTAAAAATATTATAAAAAAATAATATTCTCCATTAATTATTTAATTTGACTCAATTACATGAAATACAAAATCTCATAATAACTATAAGGTATAGTTGGAAAGTTTTTTTTTTTTTAAACTTTTAAACCACACACAAAATTAGATAAGAAACAATGAACCAAACACTTGATAAAAATAATCGCTGCATTGCTAATCCCTAAATTACTAATCCCTACATTATTCATTTTTGTACCAAATGACCCTTAAGAATAAAAGTTCATTCCCAAAGTGAGAATTGTTAAAGCAATTCCGATCAAAAGTTGAATCTATTTCAGATTTTTTTCCCTACTTAAATAAATATAAATACGATATTATAAAATAATACTTAACAATTATTCAAACAAAATGCAAATATTAATCAAAATTAAATTAGAAGACACGTTTATATATTGGGCGTATCAAAAAAGAAATATGAGGACAAAAGAGGTTGTTGACTTGGAATGGAGTTTAAGAAATATTATGTCTATGTGGGCACATATATACCTTTAGAATACACTATTCCCTCCGTTTAAAAAAGAATGACCTAATTTGACTTGGAATGGAGTTTAAGAAAAAAATGAAGATTTTTAATCTTCTGGTTCTAAATTAAAATTATGTCAAATATACTAAAATGTCTTTTAATTTTGTGGTCTTATAAATGCCACGTGAAAAGTTAAAGTTAAATTGTTACAAAAAAATAAAATCATTCTTTTTGAAACAAATTAAAAAGGAAATATGAACATTCTTTTTTAAGCGGAGAAAATATTAAATAGTATTATAAAAGTAAAAGTTCCTTCCCAGAGTGAGAATTGTTAAAGCAATTTCGATCAAAAGTTAAACCTATTTCAAACTTTTTTTTCGTACTTAAAATAATACAATACGATATTATAAAACAATACTTATCAATTATTTGAACGAAATGCAAATATTAATCAAAAAGAGATATGAGGACAAAAGAGGTTGTTGAAAATCCAAATTGAAATCTAAATGGGTCCAACATGCTATACATTGTAGATATTTAGCTGAAAACCAAACAACACAAGACTGAAATTTCATCATTGATTCACAAGAAGTCAACAAAAAAAAAGATCATTTTTTTCTTCTTTTTCATATTTGATAAACTGAAGAAGAAGAAGAATGGGGTCAATAGCTAAAAAGGGGTTGCAGAATTACTTCATACAACTTCAGCAACACCCTTTAAGAACAAAGGTCTCACCTTTTTTTCACTTTCTTGATTTCTTTTTTTTTTCTTTTTTGGTTCTATACTTTCAATTTTGTCTAACTTGTGAAGTGGGTTTTGGTTATTTTGAGCTGTTAAGTTCAATTTATGATGTGGGTGTTGCAATTTTAGAACTGAGATCTCTATCTTGATTATTGGAGTGTCATACTCGAACTAATATTATTAAACTATCGCCAACTATTTATCGAAATACACTTTAACGTCAATTGTTTACTTTTTTCTACCTGAAATATCTATCCTGTCGAGGTAGTGTTTTAATAGTAGGTGATAGTGCAGGTATGAAACTCGAAAAAATTAGAATAGGTGTGATTTCGACTCTTTCACTCTACTTCTTTTCCTTATATTTTAATAGGTGGAAGATTTAGCTCTGTTCTCTATGAGTTTTGCAAAGGATAGTTGATTTTTGGTTTGGTAAAAGAAAGAACTTTTGGGTTGCAAAGCAACGACTAGCTTAAAAATATACTAATCAATTTTAATTTGTTTATTTGGTTTTGGTATAACACAGAGTTTATGAAAGTAAGAACACTTTGAATTTTGTGATCTTGAACTAAAGATATGTAAACTGTACAAAAATGTCATTTAATTTTGTGGTGTCAAACATGTAACGTGAAAAGTTGAAATTAAAGAGTTGTCTAAAAAGGAAAAAAAGAAACGAACTATAAAGGGAAGTATGACAAACAAAATAAATGGAGGGATTAGTAGTTTTATACTTTTAACTCTAATGACATCATGACACTTAAAAGGACGTGAGCTAATGGTTAATGATGTTAGAAATTGTTCATGGTGAACCATAGAGGCTAATAATTAGGTGATCTCTTTTTATCTGTCTAAATCTTGACATATAGAGTATTTATGCCAGTGGGAGGTAGCAACCATGCAGTTGATCGTTGAGGTGCGTCTAAGTTGGCTGAACACCATCCTTATTGGATTTATGTTAGTTCAACTATGATGAATCTCACTGCATTATATTGGCATCCGGGCGTAGTGAGTAAAGAGGTTCATCACACATCTCCATTTGTATGTGGGGATATCAATGGACTTGAATTGAATCGAATGATGTAGAAGGTTTATATAGTTGAATTTAACTAGTTTGATCTTGAGATGTAGTTGATCGAGTTGATGGTTAGCTTGTGTATAAAGCCTTTTTGCTCGACTGGTATTGTGATTTTATTTTTTTAGTTTCTAATTTTGCAATTTATAATTGCAGGCGATAACAGCTGCAGTTTTGTCAGCTATCAGTGATATAGTGGCTCAGAAGATCACTGGCATTAAGAGACTTCAAATGAGACGCCTTCTTCTGAAAGTGGTAACTGTTTGAATTCCTTCATTGTTTCCCTTTCCCTTTTGTGTTTATACTGTGAAGTGTAGTTGGCTTTGAGAAATCTGTTTGACCTTTATCAACTTCATTGTGCCATAATCTTCTCATACTATGTTGCTCGGACTCTTCAAAGAAGCTGATGGATGCGTGTTGGATCATCCAAAAGTAGTGTTGTTTTGGAGGACCTGACATGGGTGCGGCAAGACTTTTGGAGAGTCTGAGCAACATAGTTCTCATATGAGCATGAACATAATATGCATACAATATATAGCTTTGATGAATCTCAAGGAGTTTCCTTTTATTGAATATCTGTAAACACATGATAATTTGATTATGTCTCTCATTAGTAAGGGCAGTTTCTGGAGTTAGACGGTCCTGCAGCAATTCAACATTTTCTTCTTATTCTGCATCCACTTTCTTGAAGCAAGGCAAAATGCTACCAGTAGAATACTTTTTTGACTCTGCCCTGATCTTATTCACGAGTTATTGGTATTCTGTTTAATTTGATTAAGATTAACCTAATTCTGTTGCGCACTGTTTTCCTAGTCCCTTATACTGCATTGCCTGCTATAGGTCATTTGTAGCCTAAGTTGTGCGGACTCTTCACTTTCGATGCCGCACCTGTGTCGAATTCTCCAAAAATACACTACTTTTAGAGAATATGACATGCACCCGTTGACATTTTTTAAAAGACCGAATAACATAGGTTTTAGCCTCTTTGTATCTTCTCATTGAAGACATCATGTAGTGAAGTAAGACTAAGAAAACAATACCTTCTTAGCGTGCTGTTTACCTTTAGTCTAACCCGCAGTACTCTCATCCAAACTCATTTTGATAAAGCATTTTCTTGTTCGTATTTGTGGGGGAAAACCTCGTCTACGAGAAGTATGCTAAAATGTGGAAAACTATCAACCATATGATTCTTTACAAAGCCATCCATTCAATCTATATACTAATAGGACTGCCATCAATGGTCATCTCATTATTTACTCAAATTTTCTGCTGACTCTCTGAAATTTTTTAACTAAACACAAACCTTCTAGTATGTCTCAATAAAATGGGATTGTAAAAACTGGATAACTTCCTTTGCCACACTTAAACTATATTGGGATCTGGAGAATTTCAGGTATGTGTTGGATCATCCAAAAGCTATGCAGTTTTAGAGGATACGACATGATCATGACAGCATTTTGGAGTGTCCGAGAAACATAGCTTAGTAATGTACTGTATAACTAAATCAGAAGGATAGGAAAAGGTAACTGAAAGTGATATGAAATGATGCTTAAAAACATTTTCATATATTTTTAGCTGCTGTGCAGTTCTGTTTACGAAAACAGAACAAACAACAGCCAATAAGCACATATTAGGATTTTTAACTTACCAGACTTAGTCCAGTTGTAGTGCTTTGTCAGGTTTACTTCCATCTCAAGATTCATTTTTGATACGGCACTTATTATCTGAATCATGTATCCTTTGTATGTAATTTCGGGTTGCGCATATAAGTTGCTATCTGGGATTGTTATTGCCTACATGCAGCTTTTTGGCTTTGCCTATCTTGGACCATTTGGTCATTTTCTTCACTTATTGCTGGACAAGCTTTTCAAGGGGAAGAAAGATACAGCAACTGTTGCAAAAAAGGTACCGAAAACCCTTCTTCTTTGGATAATTTACCATAAGTATCTGAAAAGAAAAGGTTCCAGATCATCCTGTACTTATTGGCTCTCATAACATCCTTTTGTGTCACATTACACTTCACTCTTCTTTTTTTCAGTTAAAAGATTATTTTCAACAATGATTTATAATGATAGAAGTCCTTCGCTATATAACCATTTGGTCATCAAACTGTATTTCCAGTTGGAGAAAACTCTAAACGAACGAGTAGATTAGTTGTTCATTGTGATAATTCGAGTGGCATTGTAATTGTTTCAGGTGGTTCTGGAACAAGTGACATCTTCTCCTTGGAATAACTTGCTTTTCATGATATACTATGGATTAGTTATTGAAAGTAAGTTTTTGCCAAGCTACAACTCAACTTTTCAACTTAACTATGTCACAGATTAGATGTTGCTTTTGCAACTAAGCACGTGAATATATACATTGAGTTTATGAAAATTGGAACCTGAATTAACGACTCAGACAGCATAATCACGTCCATCTAACTGTAGCTAGAGGAAACAAGATAATCTGAAATACTGTTGAGAATCATGAGGCTTCATGTTCAAATCTCAATAGAAGCAAAAACACTAGGCAATATCTTCTCATCGATCTGAAGTAAACACTACTCAAATGATCCTTCTATAATACCCTTCTTTTCGCCTTCAAACCAAACACTGCACCAGTTATGGAAGCATACACAAGTTTGACATCATTACATTGCTAGTAGGTATTGTTTTGGTAAAGTGAAGTGGTAATATTTGTGCAAAACAGATCTGTCTTCAGGAATCCATAAAGTACATGCTATAAGTCTTCTTTCATTACCTAGAAGTATAATTATAAGGTCTCCATTTCAAATCCTAACGAGACAACAAAATACTAGGTGATTTCTTCCCATCTGTCTAAACCTTGGGCGAGTTATCCGACTATTTGTGTTGAGGTGCGGGGAAACTGGCCTAGCCACCTTTGTCATGAAAAAAAATAATAATCATATGTATACACAACGACGCTTTGTGTTGATGGTATCTTTATTATGTACAGGTAGACCCTGGATCCAGGTGAAGTCTAATATTAAGAGGGAATATCCAAAAGTGCAGTATACGTCTTGGACGGTTTGTCAAATCCCCCCTCTTTCGAGTTCAAAACTGTTTTTTTCTGTTCTATTGTGAATTCTAACTGAATTTATCATTCAAAACTATACAGTTTTGGCCCGTCGTGGGTTGGATTAATCACCAGTATGTGCCACTTCAGTTCCGAGTCATCTTTCACAGCATTGTGGCATGTGGCTGGTATGCTACATTTACCTATACTTGTTACTGGTTCTGATATGTTCAACTTCGTTCCCACCTCAACAATTTCACAATATAGTTGATATATCCTTTCTCATTTTTGATTTGTAGGGGGATTTTCTTAAATCTACGTGCAAGATCGATGGCATTAAAGAAAGCTTGAAAGTCTCAAAGTTGCAAACCGGACATTGCAACATGTTCATATGTAGTGAACGTTGCTCGTTCTCTCAGCTACTAGTGGCTTATGTAGTGGTCGACATTTCCTATATACCTACTAGTGGGCTTGTTGTATTTTTATTTTTTGGTTATGGTTTTCTTGAATAGTAGGGCTCTTTTATCAGAAAGATTGGTAGTCATAGAACTCCATTTTAGTTGATGATTGGCCTATTATGACTATAAGGCTTATTATAAGGGATAATATAATTTATTTGATGTGACAATTATTGTTGTATATTTGTCCTGAATTTCTTATCATATATGAGTTTTTCTTTTTTAAAAAAAGGAAATCATAAAGTCTTCATATTTGGTTAGTCCTTTTCTTGTAGAAAATCTTTTAGGACTTGATAAAGAGACTCGTTTTTTCTAACTTAATCGACATTCACAATATAGTCTTAAGGGCTTTTAGAGTTTTTTGTTGAATACGAGTGATACGTTATCACTTGTGTGAATTTCTTTGTATTCCCAGTGAGTTGGGTAGATTATTTCTTTTTATATGCTATATAGTGAATTGTCCATCTCCTTTGTCGATATAGGTCGGTTGATCGAACCGTGTTAAAGGGTATTTATTTTATTTTATATGTATATTTTAAATATTAAATTATTAATTATTATGACTTAATTTATGATATTTTTTAATAATCTATATTTTAAAACTAATCCTAAATCCCCCCCCCCCCCAACCCCACATCAAATATTGTTCATGTGAAGTGACTCACTTAAGTAGGTCTTTGTCACTTGTTAGCCAATGAGATTAGAGAGTTTAAACAAAGTTTAGCTGTAAAGCTAATCTCCTTTACCATGAGTCTATTCTTGGTGCTTTTTAATATTATTTTATATATAGGTGGATAACTAAATTTTTGTGATTTCACTGCTCAATATTCGATATTTATATTGTGTTTCAATTGAATTAGTTTTAGTATTTAACACTACTATATTTCCTTAGGATTAGTGTTTAATATATATCACTTTGTTCTTAAGTGAATGTTAGTTACATGTCAATTTCGATGTCAAATATTAAATAGTATATCAGGTAAAAATAAAAATAAAAAAATGAAACTTTCTAACTTTAAAATTACATGCATAAAATGCTCTAAGAACCAAGTCATAACAAGTAATAAAAAAATCAAAATGTTTACGAGGTGTGTAGGTTTTTAATCATTATCAAAGGTTTTAAATTCAAATTTTGATTAACAAATTATCGTATTTACTAGTCCTAGAAATTCCTAATATAACTTTGAATTAATTAAGCTTTAGTAAAATATTGCACATTAATGGAAAAAGATAATCTTAATGCATAGAATAATTATATTGAGGAGTAAGGAAAGAGCTATGAACAAAGAAAATAATATTTTTTGTATTTTAAATTCATAATATTAATCAAATTCGACATAATAGGTAACTCAAAAAGTAGAGTCGTCAATATGAGTTACGCTCGTTGTGCTGATCCAGTCTAATCCATGATTCCATAGGGTTTGTGCTAAGAGTGTTGGAGCTCATTTACAAATTTTTTAACCTGATTTGAATAAGCTTGCTGATTTGTGGAACCTGAGAAATATGGATAGTGGCAGTTTGTGAGTCAAATAAAAATTAATTAAAAAATAAAATAGAGTATTCAAAACAACAAGAGTCTAAACCAAAGCCTTAAAAAATCTTTAATATTAAAATATTTTAATACAATATATTTATAATATATGTATTACATAAAATAAAAATTCCCTAAAGTTTCTATGCAACACTACCTAAGTCGTAGCCTATGAAATATTGTCACAGTTTTGTGTTTTATTATGATCATTGTAAAATAATGAGGTTAGTATTTCTATTTAGCTATTTATACTTTTACTTGAAATCAAACTTAATAAATATTATAAAGATATTTTTTGTGAATTTGATCAACAGATAGTAACACTAACATCATGAAATTTTGTCTTGTCGATATTATGATAATATTTTTAAATTATAATTTGATCTATAAATTTATTTTAAAAAATTACATTTTTAAAAAAGTTGGGTTAGCCCAACACAATCCGTACAAGTGGATTAGACTGATCATTTTTTACCCCACAAAAAAAATGGATCAGCACGACTTGGTCCAACAAATTTTAAAGTCTATATAAATTAATCCAAATAGAATTAATCAACTCATATTAACAAATATATATATATATATATATGCTTTTTCCGATTTTACCTTTTCCACTAACATCATGATCCATTTTAATAAAAAAAGGTTTGGGTATACATCCCATTTTAATAATTAATATAATTACGTACTATAACAAACATTAGGTTATAGCAAATGAGATTATAGAGTTTAAACAAAGTTTATTTGTACGTAAAGGTAATCTCCTTTTTACCAAATGAGTCTATTCTTTGTGCAACTTAATATTGTTTTCTGTTAAATGTGTGACATTTTTTTTCGATCTTATATAGTTTGATATTTGATATTTGATATTTATGATGTGGTTCAATTAAATTTAGCTCGAAAGAGAAAGTATCAACTAGGAATAAAATAAAATACTTCTTATAAAAGATGATGTCGTATTTATCACTCCGTTATATACAATTCTTGACGGTTCTCATTTGATATATCAGTTTGATGGCATACATATTTTAATTAAGTGAATGTCTTATATAATTAAGGTAATTAAATTAATTACATGTTATTAACCTTTTCTTTTCCCATTTAAGTGATCGTCCTTTTTGACTTGTTAAATAGTAATATTTTCACATAATTTCTAAAAGATGTATTGGCTATAAAATCTCATCCGTCAATAAAATTATGATAAAGTGATAAATTTTTCTATATTTTTTAATCAGAAACTTCAAATTTAAGTTATATAAAATTGTTATCCTTATTAAAGATTGTTTTATCTTTAATATAGAATTTTTGGACTTTGAAATTATACTAAAATCATAACAATTACTGGTCAAAGTAGGCAAAAATAATTTCTTTTGACCCTCCAAATACTAAATATTGCCACAGAAATTTCCAAAGGAAGCATATATAGTAAATAAAATTTAGTTGATTATAAATATTTATATTCATTGTTGTCGCTAAATATAATATTATAACGATCATATTATCATCGTTAATTTATTTATTTATCGTACCGATGGAAGTAATATTCTTTGTATGCTAAATTCTTGGATAACATTAATCATAATATATAGTGGGTGACTCAAAAAGATATATCTTTTTTTTTTTTAAAATAAAAAAAAAACTTTAGGTTCTTTTCCACTAATATCATATGGTCCACTTTAATATTTTGTTTTTGGGTATACATACCATTTTAATAATTAATTACTATAGCAAACATCAGGTTATTAGGTTTGAATTAGGTTGTTGTCATTATCATTCTTTGTTTGTAACATTGTAGTACAAGGGCCCTCAATTGGTTTTTGTACTTGGCAATTTACGTTAGAAATCAGTTTATTATTGAAAAAATTATATATAATAGCAAATTATTAAATTAGGTTAAATATTATAAATATTATTTAATTTAATTGTTATCCTTAGTAAATAGTTGTCATTTGTCACTCTTCCTAGGTTTCTAGTACGCCACTTTTGTCAATCTTTCCCTCGCTTTTATACAAACATAATGTATAAAATGTGTTTGTATTTGTATAAAACGAGAGAAAAGTGTATATACAAATACGAGTAAATATATTTTCGTCCTATACACTTATAATTATATAAATACATATCTTCCTTTGCCCAACTCTCTTTTGTCTTTCTTGTTTTATACAAACACATATTATACAAATTATACTGTATAATTTGTGTTGTATAAAGAGAAAGAGAGATTTAATATACAAATATTTTATTTCAATTAAATTGTATACAAATTTAAATTTTATACAGATATAGAAACACATAAAATTGAATTGAGAGATTGCCATGGTCTGTCAGCGAAATTATACAAATTTAAAGCTCCTAAGACACATATCTTTTTCTTAACATTGTTAAGCCACCACTGATCGAATACAATGATGAATTATATTTCATGATTTCATATAAAATAAAATATGTATAATTTTTGAGTAATTTATGTATGACTATTTTATACCGAATAAAAGATGAAACAACTATTATGGTAATTGATTAGTGAAGGAAAAACAACATAATTTAGAGATACTTCATTACTATATATGTTATTACCTATACTTTCAAGATATTATATATCTTAATACTTATTAACAAGTTCTATCATATATTAAAACATATGCACTTATATACATGTATTATTGCTATCAGATATATACTAAAATATAACAGTGAGAGAGACAAGTGATATGGAGAGGACGGTGATAGAGATTCTTTATGTATCCAGTTACATTAAATTTACATGTGAATCACTTTAGATACATACATATGTTGTATGTGATGTAATTCATATGTATCTGTAGCCAGTGTGATTTGCATGTATATTTATATGAGAATGACAAACGAGATGAGGGGGGGGGGGGAGTTATCTTTCTCAAATACATGCGAATTCACTTGGATACAATGTATCTACAATAAATTACACCTAATTTTGATTCCATGTATCTGCTGAATTCGAAAGAATCGAGGCATCATTCGGAAACTTACAATTGCAAATGATATGATGATAAATTAGACGATACATAAAATTTTACCAAAAGAAACATATATTATAATATGGTCAATTGATCTATACAATTACAAACTTATATTTAACATAGAAACTGTAGAGAGAAATATCATAAACAAAACTCTTAAATGTGTACATTGTATGAATGCTATTATACGGGTTCCAAACGTTTCCACCAAGAAATAAATAAACCAAATATGAAAGATAATCTTTTTTTTTCTTCAGAAAAAGTAAAAGCAATTATAGTATTACTCTGGCTTTCCTTCAAGAGAAAAGTAAAACTCAAATATGGTAAGAAATTCAGGATAAAATCCTAACAGCATCCTGAGATATATGTATTTGGACGTATTTGAACACAACAAAATTTAATAAAATACACAATATTATAAACTGGAATATATATATACCAAAATTTATGTAAGTTGCCTATAACTAAACTCTGGATTTATAATGTCTGCGAAACCCTAACCAATGATAATGTACAAAATCGATTGAATCAAAAAAGATAAATATAATCCTTGGCCAGCGAGCAAGGAGCGAGCTAAGTAAATCTTACCTGAAAATGAATGAGATTGAGAGGTGCCACATGAGTTTTTTTTTAATCTAGCTTTACATATATGGACAACTCTGAT